CCTTCCTTCCTTCCTTTCTCTTTCTTTTTCTTTCTTTCTTTCTTTCTTTCTTTCTTTCTTTCTTTCTTTCTTTCTTTCTTTCTTTCTTTCTTTCTTTTCTGGACTCCAGTTGGATGTATATGCAATTCAGCTGCCATTTTATTTATGATGCATGGTGATACTTTTGTTTACTGGTGGCCCACTTAGCCTGTGCCAGGAAAACCTTTACCAATCCAGTATGGAAGCGAGGTGTGCCTCCCTCCCCTCTTCCGCTTCTCTCTGAGAATGGAAGAAAAGCGTCCATCCATCCGTGCGCCATAATAATCAATGAGATTCTTTGCCGGGTGTAACTTGCTTGAGCAGGACTCTGGAAAGCAAAAGCAGATGCATGCATTCCTCTCTTTTTCCTAAAGGTTTGCATTAGGTATCACCAAGTCCTAACCAGTTATTCATTCCTTATTATGGAGGGAAATGCCCCCTAAATAGAATGGGGAGAGGGCATGAAAGCCCTCCTTGTGTTATACAAGGGGACAAATGTTATATAAAATTGCATCCACCACTGAGTCCCAGCATTGCTAAAGGTCAGAGTGCTGACTGTTGATTTATGTTGCCAGTGGGCTGGGGGCAGTGTGCTTGCCTTCACTCTGCTATGCTTTCCCCCTCCTTTTATTGGCAGTTGCAATTATTCAATTTAGGGTTAGACTTTAGATATATACAGATTGGAAGTATCAAGAATAAAACTTTCTTTGCAAAAATAGTATGGATATTTAATAGCCGAAAGTGTGTGACTGCATCTCTCTGTGTATATATATGTATATGAGAGAGACATGCATGCATACACATATGTGAGTCTGTGTAAATTAGCTCTCCTTTCCTGATCTGCCAAACAAGCAGGTCCCCAGCAGATCTGTACAAAATAAACTATCCATAAGCCTTTACTATGTATCTCTCTCTCTGTGTATTTGTGTGTAATTAAATAGAACTGTTTGGCAATCCATAATATTTAAAAGTAGCTTTTTCAGAGGAGGGAGCGAAAATTAGATTTCAAATAGGCCAGATCCAGCTGGAAAAAAAGGGGGAAGCGTTAATTTTGGCTCAATTATTTTGTCATCATTTCGTATGATTTATGGCCCAGTTCTGGAGGATTTTGACCCAGTTAAAACAGTCATAAATAATGGTTCCCAATCCTGAGACCAAGGCTTGTTTGTGTTCAGGAGTTAAAAAGTGAACAGAGTTGAGTAAACAGAAATCCAAGTATCAATGGTGGTGATATGATAAACAATATTAGAGACAAGTTTCTTCATCAGATTGAGAGCTTACCTTCTAAGGCTGAGATTTTAAATGCTGTTCGCATCAGGAAGCAAGTCTTATAAAATTAATTATAGTAACTTCCAGGGAAAGCATTTGTAGATTTGGAGTGTTAAGTGCCCTTCACTTTAAAAATCTAGAATCATATTTCTCTTATTATTAAACAATCTTTCCTGTACTTTCTTGTCCCACTTATAGAGTTTTGAATTATTTTATCTCGTACACACACCACGTGCACTTTCTAATAAGGCATACTGAAATCTTTTTTCCTATTTGCTGAGCTGATAGGGAAACTTGTCAATAATTCTTTTCCTTCATTTCCAAACTTTTCTCTGCAAATAAATGCAAGGTAGCATTTCTTTGTTTTTGAGGAGCAACCCTCTTATCTATCTTGCTTAAAGGCTTTCAGAATGAGGGACCCTTGAACCATTTGGGTTTATGCTGCTTTAGGTCTAGTTGCATAAATCCAAACAGAGTCTGACTTTTTAGATGGCAACAAGGGAGGGGAGATTAAATTAATGCAAAGATGTCTGTATAATGTGGTGGTAAAGAGGGAGAAACTCAACAACGAAGGAAAAAAAAAATTCTGAAGCTCCAGTGAAGCTAAGGAAAGAGACAAAGATGAGGGGGTAGATTATAGAAACCATAAAGCTAATAAATGGGAGGAGGAAAAGAACAGTGCTGCCTATTAATTGGGTTACTTTTATTGGAATATTTAGGCGTTAAATTCTCCCTTTTCTTTAAACCTTTATTTGCCTTCAGGGGAGGAATCTTAGTATCTGCTACTTCAGGCACCTTCCTAACTAAATATTCTCAGAATCTGGCAAGGTGGATGAAACGCACCATCGGCTATGGCATAATTTTTGTGACTTCGGGGGAAGAAGCGCGGTGGGTTGAACACCCAGTTTTCTTCCCAAATTCTCTCCGGAAATAACTTCCTTTCCCCCACCCCACCCGAAGGGTGGGTTTTCTTTTCCTTTTGTGGAGGGATGGCAAAATGTGGAGGGGGGAAGAGAAGGGTCGCATCAGCAGTTTTCAGGAGAAAAGTGTAGGGCTGATCATTGACAAAAGCAGCGTTTTCTTCCACAGCCACTGTCAAGCGGGAGGTGGTAGCAAAACGGCTGACCGGTGAATTTTGGTCCCTGCTGTCCTCCCTCCTACGCAGCAGCTCAGCTTTCTGCCTTTCATGTGGAGCCCTCGCAATATGCTCTGAGGAGCAAGTGTTTTCTGTTGGGGAGCTCTGTTTACAGCTTGGGCGCATGAAGCCATAAATCTTGCCTCGCCATAAATGACAAAAACCATTGGTATGCATAAGAGGCCACCCTGGACTGAAAGTACGTGTGTATGTTTGTGCGTGCGTGTATAAATCTCCTCTTTCCCCTGTTCTGCTTTGTTTGGGGTTTAAGGTGACAGTGCAATTTAAAGAGGCTTCTTTGTATTTTCCACACCTTTGGTAACGAAGGCCTGTCAAAATCACACCTCAGCTCTTATTCCAAACCGCCTTTGAACGCCCTGCGCGCCAACTGGCTGCTTTTCTGGGGCTGTTTAAAGCGTCGCTCTCTGGGTCTGAAAGGTTTTTTTTTTTTTTTTTTTGGCTGCTTTTCTCCCGTTTTGTTTGGTCTCTCTCTCTACACCCCCACCCCCGTGCGCAAGGGTGGGGGGGAGTTATTGGAAACGTGAAACATTCTACTTACTGATGTTATTTTAAACCTCACACTACTTGGGCAGGAGAATGGCTGGAAAGTGCAGGAAGGGAAAGAGGAGGGGGAAAGGAGAAATGGAGAAAAGGAAGGCGAAAATAACCTAAAACACACACACATACACAGAGGAGGAGGAAGAGACGAAAAAACAAGGAAAACTAAAGTTAGCAAAGCAGCGGCGCTGATCAGCATGCACACGTATGGCCGTGAGTATTTGACTAAATGACGCGGATTGAAATCTGGGAGAAGTGGGCATGAAGTGAATGACTAAATCCTTAACCCGATTGTACCTCAGAAAGTCCTGATACAGCTGACTGAGAAATTAGGTCTCCCCTTTTCAAACAGACCGTTGCTCCTCTGAAATATTCCTGGGGATGTAGACTGGCAATTAGTTCCTAGCCTTTATTTACCGTTGCTTTGGTTTCCTAGCGTTTAGTTACCTTTACTTGGAACTAGACACTTTAATAATTACTGAAGTCCCTTTAGTCCCACCAACTTGGAAGGAGACAGGCAAGTTTATTTCACTGGCTCTCCAACCAGGCGGTTCTTTCTAAGAGTGATTTCTCATTTCCTCTGAACTGGGAGGCAGATTTTCCTTCCATCCTCAATATTAGCTGCTCGTTTTGTATACGGATGGTTGTGCTGTTTCCTCGATGATGTGTATGTGAATGTTTGCCTAGGGGAAGGGCAACCGGAGAAGGGGGGAAATGGGCATATAACTATGGTCACCTATCTAGAGAGCGAGTGCCCTTTCATCAACCCCGAAATGTCATTGTTTTAATCTTCCCTTTGAAAGCACTGTAGAGATTGCCCTGAATGGTAGACAGATCAGAAGTCCACGTATTATTGTGTCTGGTGGTGGGGGTGGTGGGTGTTTGTCCATATGTGGCGTAACTTCCAGATTTCAAACCATGCCTCCCCACACACCCCTGTCTAATATAGAGAATTCTCTGTATTATTCACCAAACTGTTGCCATACTGGTGTGTGAAATATATGTGTGTGTGTGTGTTTGTGTGTGTGTACACACCCCCACCCCCCACCCCATCAAGGGTCTGGGGAGAGCGATGGCCTTTCTGTGAGCATCCTTTGTCTTGATTAGCATAATTTTCCTGGCCTCTAATGCCTCCCTGGCCCTTCACTCTTTCATTCCCTCTTTCTTCTCACTCCCTCCATTCCATCTCGCCCACCCCCACCTCTCCTGCCTGCCCCGGACTTCCCGAGGCAGCTGCCTCCTTTCTCCCAACAAACGCCCCCTTGGGCGTGCAAGGTTGCATAGGCAGCCCTCTGGCTTTTCCGAGCGATCTGGTCCAGGGGAGAGCTTGTCCGGGGGTAGCGGGGCACGACTCTCGCTCGGCCCCAGGGGTGAGGTGGGGGGCGTGGAGGTCGGGGCTGGAGCGAGGTAAGGACAGGGCTCTTCTTCGGAGGCAAGCCGAAGAAAGATCTTCTTGGGTGTCCCCTTCCCGATGGAGGCAGGGCTCCTCCCGTTCTGATTCATGGGCTCGTCCTGCCGGAGATGACTTGAGCGGGTCCCCATCCCGGAGGAGCTGAAGGCACTTAGTGGTCGGGGCGGAGGGGGTGAAGTGAAAGGGGGAGAACCTGATCCCCGGGCTGGCAGGGAACAACTGTCGCCGAGCCTCCAAAGACCAATGCTGGCTTCCGCCTCAGTCGTCAGAATTAAGGTAAGCAAGCCCCAAATACGCGGCTATCAGTGGTGAATGCCGGAGTTTATGTCCTGGTTGATTTATGACCAGAGACTTAAATCTCGGTTCAGGAAGAGTTCACAGGCTGGAGCTTCCTTCCAGGCAGTGACGGATAGACCCTTGCACATCGAGTTCAGGCTGGGTGCCCCTCTCCCCTCAACTTTTCTTTATCTGGCAGGAAATCTCGGGCTGCCGAGAGGAGGCCAGCAGTGGGGAAGTGGGTGGGGAATGTGAACGGGGTCCCTGCGTGGACCACGACTTTCCAGGAGGGGTGGGTGGAAGGGGAAACCAGACAAGCGCAGAGAAAAATGCTCCAAAGCTGTAGTCTGGTCTGCCAGCCAGTTCAAGAGAGCACTGACGATTTGGGGTCCAGCCGGATTGTTTTCCGCAGGAACTCCAAAAACTCCTGTGCAAACATATTCGGTTTTCCTGCGTGGTAGATCGGGCCAATGTAGTGGTGATTGGAAGACTGGATTCTTTGTGTGGGCGTTGGTGGGTAGGAGTCAGTCTTTCCACGAAAGCTTTGCACTGCTTCTGAGGTTTTAGGAGAAGACCTCTCCATTGGAATATTTCATTCCCAAGCACTGATCCCATTTCTTTCTTAGACACCCCTAAAGTATTCCTGAACCAAAGCTGCCATCCTGTGCAGGCTTTCCAGAGAGTCAGCCCCACTGGCTATTATGGGACTTCTTTCTGAACTGAACAGGCACAGGATTGGGCTGAAAGGCTGCAATCCTGGCCATGGGCACAAGAAGTAGTTCCCCTGAATCCAGGGGGAGCGGATTTTGGAATAAACCTGCATCAAGTCAGGCGCTATGAAAAACCCGAGGCATCAGCCTGCAGGGTGGCAAGACTTAATGCAAATGTCACTAGAGAGGCGATGCTTTGAAGTCACTGGATTTGGGGACAAACTTTTTGGTGACCGGATAGTGCTTCTACATGTCTTCCTTCACTGGCTGCTTCTTGTGATCTCCTATATCTGCATTCTCTTGAAACAAGCATTTACCTTTGGTGAAATAACTCAGTGTAAGGTGTGATCCTTTGCATTAATGAGTTTTTCCCCTACTGGCTTTAAACAGGAGCTATTTCGCATGCTTCCGTGCATTGTCGTCAACTGCTTTTTGCTTGCACTATCTGCGAGCAGGACGGGGGCTGCCCAACTGTCTCACCCCAAAGTCTCCTTTGCCCATTCCTCCCTCCTTGTAAGAGTTCTTTCTGCAAAGGGCAGAAGAACAAGTTTTAAAAAGAGGAACAGCATGGAAAGATATTAAACCAACTGCAAGGAAACGGTCATCATCTTACAGTGTCACACTTCTTAGTTAAAAAAAAATGAACAACATGCAACCACCCTGCCAAAAATAAAAGGAAAAGAGTGATAGAAGTCAGAAATTAGGAAGAAATATTAGGAAACAGATAGCAACCCTCAGGCTCCCCAGTCCGATTCAAAATAAAGTTCTGGAGTTAAAGCTCTGGAGTTTTAAGTCAATTTACTTCCAAACAGGATAAAATCAGTTCCCACCCAATCTAATCTGCTGCTGAAGTTCATCTTCTATATTTTTCAATTCAGGTTGTTCATAATAACCTCTAAAAGACTTGATTTTTAAAAGCAAGCAAACAAAAAAAGAGAGCTTCACCCTCTATCCAAAGGAAGCTGCCATCTGCAAGAGGTTTATTAAATTAATCTGTCTCTCTCATGTGCCTTGTTCTTAAAGAAACTTGGGCGAACTGAAATGCAAACTCCTGCAATTAATTTGAGTATGCCTGTGAGATGGTAGTGTGTAATGTTTCCCTCCAGCAAGATACCCTGGCAGCCCATTGTTTTGACTGGAAGCCTGAGCTGAGAATGTTTATGAGAATATGAGGACCTCGGAGAGAAGGTGCGGAAGTGATAGGTTTTTAAGTGGTGGTTCAGCTGGCCTGTAAAAAGTTCTTCAATTGCAGATAAGAAGTACTCCCTTCTCTAGCTGATTCTGCTCAGACAGGTAAACATTGTTGAGCGAACAAAAAAGATTTGCTTGGGTTGTAGGCGTGTTTGTGGTTTTGTGCACCCATTCGTCCCTCTGCATCCAAATGACCCCCATACATCAAATGACATTGCAGTCTCAGAGACAGAACCTATTATGGTTGAGTTAGGAGGAAGGTTCAAGCTGTGGTCATGGAGATGGACACTAGCGGGTGTGTCTTGCCCCAGATATTTTATTTGTGGGTATAATTCATGAAGGGGGAAAAGGGGAAGAAGAAGAAGAAGAAGAAGAAGA